GAAGATATGAAATTAAGTGTAGCCCTCAATACCTTATTGGGGACATGGAAAATGTAAAACATCTAAGGGTGTGTGATAAACACTATGCCAGTTTGGCATCCAGGGGTCATAAGCCTGCAAAAGGTAAAAGTTGATCAAAGTCTCGAAGTGACGCCCAGCGTGGCATTCTAAAGGTCAGTCCATGCATTGTGCAATGTTCGCAGTGCAGAAATGAAGCTAGTCTGTCTTTCCAGTGACGTTCCCTGCAATAAACACAACATAAATGTATTCAACAACTGTTTTGCAGTACCATGCAACTTTCTAGATGAGCAAACTGGAAATAAAACTGATTTTCACAATGACCTTTATCATGCTAAAGATTCAATTGATGAATCTAAAGCAAGCTACATATGTATATCATGTCAGACCTTCTTTCTAAGCAATACATCATCTTGGTCTGACCCCGCTATTAATTTTTCAATTTTTTTTAATTTTTCAATTTTTTAAATGAACACTAGTGAGCAGCACAAAGCAACGTGAGAATCTTGTTTACTTGATTTTATTTCTCTGAGCAGTTTCGTCTGATCACACAGACTTCATCAGGGAGTATAACAAGATAGAGCTAAGGAAATAACTTTATACCTAATGATTAAGACAAAATCACGTTCCTGTAAGTGTACAAAGTTTAATTTTGGGGCTCACGGATTTAACATTAAATCCGTGAGCCCCAAAATTAAACATTGCAAATTTTGTAATGCAGGATTATAGTAATATCCTGCACGCATATTTTGTGGGTGTTTTTTGCTGTTCACACCCTTACAGGCACATGATTTTGTCTTAATCATTAGGTATAAAATTAGTTCCTTGGCTCTATCTTGTTATACTACCTGATGAAGTCTGTGTCATCAGAGGAAACCGGTCAGAGGAATAAAATCAAGTAAACAAGATCCTTGCGTTGCTTTGTGCTGCTCACTAGTGTTCATTTAAAAAATTAAAAGATTAAAAAAATTTTTAAAAAATTACAAAAAATAATACAACATTAAAAAGTTAAAAAATTTAAAAAATAAGAAAATTACAAAAAAAATTACAAAAAAAATTAAAAAATTACAAAAAAATTACAAAAAAATTATGAACAAATTAAAAAATTAAAAAAAAAAGGAGTAAGCCAACACACGACCCACCAAGACAACTGAAAATTAGTGTGAGAGACGAAGAGCTGAAGAGCTATCCTTTGAGCAATCACCACAGAATAAATCATTTAAAGAAACGGTTGCTGCCCTACAAAAGGACACATTGCCCTCTAGTGATAGTGATGAAGAATTTGAAAGTGATTTTAGACTGTTAGACAGTTCAGAAGAATTATTTTTCCAAAGACTTGATGAGCCCACTGAAAATAAAAAGCAAAGGATGTGTGCCAAATCTTACATGTCTGATTTGTTTGACCAAACATATGATTATCAAATGGTAAAAACAACAGAATTATGGGAGTACGGAGAATTTGACAGATCACTGACACCAAAGCTGGGAAATGATTTTAATCACTTGGAGCAAGTCAGGTGTTTCATTTTGAAGAAGGGATTTCAAGACCCCCTGATTATTTCCTGTGACCTGCACACTGGCTGTGCTTATTTGACTGAGGGGAACCATCGCCTCTGGGTGGCACTGAGAGAAAAAATCCCTTTTGTAGCTTGCCATGTGATTCCTCAACGGTTTCCACCCAATAGATCGTTCAAAAATGTCAATGCAGATCTTACAATATTACAGTCTAAGGAAGTCATACTTCCAGAGCATTTAGGACTAACAGTTCTCAACACCAAGCAAGTTCAGTCATAAATCAATAACTCCCAGACAAAAATCCTGGGGTAAGCTTATAATTTGACAATCTGAAGCAAAACCCTCATTCTGCTTTAATGGTAATTTGCCACTGAATTGTCCTGAATGGGTTTTGATGTCCTAGGTCATGAGTTTAAAACACTGTTAACAATTTCACTACTAACTGAATTGTCCTGAATGGGTTTTGATGTACTAGCTCATGAGTTTAAAACACTATTAACAATTTCACTACTAAGCGTCTTGAACAGGGTGTCCTTAAATGCCTCTGTTACTAATGAATTTCATTGGCTCCAAGACACAAGACAATACTAGTTGCTCGTGGAAAGGTATTTTGAATAGCCCACTTAGTTAATTTTGGTAACAATAATATGCACAAAGCTGCATAGATCCAGACGTGCTTTACACAAAAATAATAATTTAACAAAACTGTTTTCCTTCGGGAATGAGTTAGAAAATTACAGGAGTATTCCCTACACAGGGAAATGCATTGAAACAAAAGATATTATCACTCACCTCTTTTCCGCCATGCCGCTAAACGAACTCTGAAGGGATTGATATGATGAACCATCTACAATGAAGACCTGAGATTACACGTACTCAAAGCCTGTTATGTCCTTAGATGAACCTCCTATTGCTGAGTCGAGACACCATAACATCGCTGTGCACTGGCCCTCGAAAGTGTGACCGGTAGATATGACTGCTCGACATTCAAGCTCGACGATCGAAAGGAATCTTAAAAAATCATTACACCTCCGAAGGTTTCATTCAAAATAAGTACAATGTACCGGTTTTCTGTTTCAATAGGAATCTTAATATCGCCAAATCTAAGAAAATGAAGCAAGATAAGCGTAAGAAATTCTATTATTTTATCCTCCTCATCAACAACGACTATGCCCGCCATTTTGAAAAGTCACCGAAGCGAGACATGACGTCATACTGGCACGAGGACTGAACCATCGATTTCCTTGGAGACGCCCCCTCTCTTGCTTTCTAGACTGAAATGTCAGCAGTTTGAAACTTCACGAAGACAGATTACTGAATCAAATTAATGTTCTAAAATTTGCGTCATTTTAAATTTGGACTCGTTGGAATGCTTCTGGGAACCATTAACCTACTGCCCGGCGTCAGATAACCGCTTTTAAACGGCTTTTGAACGAGTTTTATTGTTTTAACAGGGGCACCCGACGACAATTTTCGGAAAATATCTGTTCGGAAGACGATTTGAGATCTAGAATTTTCGGAACATTTGTTATAAAATTACTTGCTTGCCTGCCTCTTCTAGGATTTTCGAACATCTAAAAAATGGTAAAATTGCCCATTTTCAACGGATTTTTACACTAAAAAGGTCACCTAGAATTTTCGGGAGCCTTTTTTCTGGCTGAAATTTTCGAACAGGTAAGTTTTGATCCCTATAATTTTCGGATCACTAGACTTTCAGCTAGGAAATCCGAACAGATGAAAAATTTATAGGGGATAAAGATATGCCCATATTGACCGTTTAAATACTAAAACACGTTTTAAAATGCTATGTTTAAGTGGTTTTGAACTATATTCTCGTTGGGTGCCCCTGTTTTAAATTGCCAACTAGTAGAATGAGTTGATATTTTTGCCAACCCGGGGTTTCAAAAATCCAGGTATATATACCCAAGCGTAAAAAAGGTAGTCCTTTCGAGTAGAGCCTCCCCGTATAGGCCAGTGATCGAACGTGTAACTCATATGAAAACGCCAGTGTGGACGTCAAATATTTTATTGCCTCTACCATTTTAATTTTCGCAAGCCAGCTGCGTCTGATCTTCTTCTGATGCATATGTTCCAGTTAACGAAGATAGCGTTGCCTCATCTGTTGTTTTTCTTATTTTTTAAGGAGAGCCTCGGCTTCTGCCGATTTTAGGTCAAACATTTTCTTGGCATTCACCCACACGGGATAAGAATCAACCTGTGAAAAGCAAAGCAACAAAATCATTCCTAAGAACTTACAAGATGACTGGCTCATATCACGGACATTAAAACTCTCCGACGCAATGATTCTCCCCAAACTAGGAGTTCGAAGAACACATAGGCTTCCTGAGGGGAGGAGGGGTCTGTACACAGGCTAGGGGGTGGAATGCTCTTCAGCACTGCGCGCGTATACGAGTAACTAGCGGTAAGGCCGCTGGGGCGGCTCCAGGGGTTAAAGACCCGTTCTTCTCACTGCTGTACTGCTGAAACAAAAAGCACCTCGGCACGCTTAGCTAAATCCCGCCCGCTACGGAGAGTAACCCCATACAATACACGTACCCGAGAAGTTTCTCAGGCTCAGCGGTTTTGAAGACTTTTTCAATGCCAGCGATAACCTTTCCGAGTTATGACACCCTGGTGTGGACTTATTCTTTGATGTCTATATCCTGTCCGCGCCGTAACTGCCGGCGTTCAGGTACATTTAAAGCAGACCAGTTTATCGGTCACCTTTTACCTAAGTCCCTTGCAATAATTTGAACGTCATCCAGCCTATAGGCCAAGCTAAGCCACGAGCTCATTCAAGAGAACAGAAAAGCCCCAAAACCTAAAAGTTATCCTGGCTTATTTGAATGTTTTACTTTCCATTCATCACCACAGCCCGGGAATAAAGAGAAAAACTACTTTTGGTGTATTTTAAGATAGTCAAAGCACACCTGAGTTAATTTGAGCAAATGTGGAGTAGAGTCATCTGCAAATCTTGTGCTACTTTCTCTCGGCAATAAGGAGGGAAAATGATCAATGGCAACAACATCTAAGGGCTTTGATGACTTGCTAAAAATACAAAGCAAGACAACATAACAATTAGTTTTTTGCGATTTTTTTCTTCAAGTTACCCGTTACGGTAGTTTTACCAATTCAAACCCTTAAAAATAGCAACAACTCTGTTAAACTAGTTTCAAAAGTCGTAATTAAATTACAAACAACTCGCCATAGAGTGCTCCAGTAGCTGAGTGATTAGAGTGTACGATCTCAGAACGCGGAGGGTCGTGAGTTCGACTCTTATCTGGTGCTGGGAAATTTTTCTGACCTTTCTGATGGTAGATTTCCCTGTCTTCTTAATCATCAAAGAAACTCTATCTTGGAATGACTTACTTTAGTTTCACTCTGCAAGTTGGCTCTTTGAAGGATGTGCAAGTGTCGTAAAATGGCAGAGGGTTGTTAGGACTGCTTGCATCGCAGCTGATGTCAACAACAATACTTAGGGACCTGTTCATAAAAAAAATGTGGGCCAGGTTAATGATACTGCAAAGCAATAATGTTGCCCGGTACTAAAAGCTACAACATCAGACAAAACCTGTTAGGACACAAAACAATAATTAGAGGAAAATACCTATTTTTAGATGTTAGCCTAAACAACATTTAACAGGGGGTAAGTAAAGGAGGGGGGCAGACTTTGCTCCTTTGAGCGGAGATTCATGGCACGAGTTAGAAAATCCATGGAAATGTCAGGCTCAAGTGTTTTGTCTGGGGTTGTAGCTCTCCTAGCAGAGGACTCTTTGTTTCACCAGAGGGTTGGAGATAGGCAGAAAAATAAGCCCCATGGAAGTTTTTGGTCCACACATCTCAGTCCTCTTTTTTTTTAGGCTTCTTTGCGGAGGAGAGAGCCACATAACTTTACTCCCCCCCACCCACCCCCAACACAGATCCTGACTAGTTTCCAACATAAAAGTAGTTGTTTTATGCACCTATCAATGTAAATCCCGTGGGGGGGGGGAGTGGAGTGCGGGCAAGGGGAGGGGAGTTGATGTCTAGGACTATCCCCCTGTCGGGCTTTTGATCGTGTGAAGCGACCCCAGGGTCGGGACATTTGACTTTGACCGATAGAAGCCTGGTATCAATTCAGAAGCGGTTACCAAGTCCGTCCCTCGAGGCTTTCTGAAAGTCACGCTGTTAGAGAATGGTATGAAGTTTTCATTTGTTTTAATCGCCATAATCCGATACTTTACACTGTCATCTAAACAGATAATGTCTATTTTGAGAAAGATTTTATCTTCAAGTTCTCATCTGATTGTAAACCTCGATTGAAAGTCAGAGGATTTTTTACAGGTCACTGATCCGACCTGTTCCGACATGTTGAGCAGATGTTATAAAGCATTTTACGTTTCATTAATATAATAGCACGGTCAATCTTCCTGGAGCGATTGTGTTGTTCAAAATAAGAGATGCTAGCGGAGAGAGAAAATACTTAATTACAGCGAGTAATTTAACGGAACTTATATACCTGCCAACTTTTTCTGAGATATAAGCGTGAGATTTTTATCCTGGGAGTGCTGGGATTTTTGAAGACGACACGATCATTTCCGAAGATTTCCGAAGAAGTTCGAAGTCTTCCGGAGAAGTCCGAAGTCTGCCGAAGGCGAAGTTATCGAGAAAACGCTTATCCACAAAATCAGAGATCGCGAGGAAGGTATTGTCATTTATTCATTTTACACATGGTTTTCGTTCCTTACACGTGTCTGAGTTAACATATTTTTGGGAATTGTGTCAAGCAAGACGGCAACAACTCACATTTTTCTATCAGGCGTGAGAAATTGGCCCGCAAGCGTGAGCCGGCGTGAGATCGAAGTTTTCAACCCGCAGGCGTGAGTCTCACGCCTAAGGCGTGAGAGTTGGCAGGTATAAACTTACGTTTAACCTTAAATAAAAGTAGTAAGAACGTACTTTTGAAATGATCTTTTATTCGTTTTATATAGTATTATAGTACTGTTTGTTTAGATTTTTCCCCTGGGGTGGGGGCTTTTTTGACACTTTTGATTGACCTTTCGTTTCCCACCCTGGGGAATTTTAACCAAAAATTTTAAAAATTTGTCAAATCCCCACCCCTTGCCCGCACTCCCCCCCCCCCCTCCCAAGGGGTTTACATTGATAGGTGCATTACCTTTCATCTGTGTCCAACATTTCCTTGGTAATGAACGGGGGGATTTTCTAATGCATAAAAAACATAACAACATATCAATATGCTACCAGAATTTCTTTTTACACCATTTACCAAGTAGAAAAAATCACGTTCAACAGGGTATCTCAGGTAGTTAGAGTGTGAAGGGGAGGGGGTGGGGAATTTTCTAAGTTAAACACTAGTACCTCAGTGAGTAATATACAGTTCACAAAGATGTCGTACTGCAGAATCTCTGGAAATGGTCCCCCAGCCCTTGTTTCAGCTATATCCCACTCTGCAATATTTGATCTTCCGTCACAAAAAGAAATTACAAGCTGTTGTTAAAATCAGTGGAGTAAACAACTGACATGTAATGATCTGGAAAATTGCGTGTCTTTAAGTTGTGTACAATTATAAAAGAATGAAAGAATAATATTCACTAGAAGAAAATGCACACACTATACAGGTGTAAGTGAGACATACTTAGGAATTCCCATTTTCAGAAGCATCTCAATAGCACCTTTGCCACACCGACCTAAGGCACCAACCACAAGGATCCGAGGAAAAACTTCAGCCACCCCTGCAAAAGTTGCCATTATCTTTTTATTATTTAAATACATACAAGGAAGAAAAGTCATGTCCGGATCCTCTTGAGGAAATAATCATTTTTCTATGTGGAAAGAATTAGTTAGGTTTCACATTAGCTGGAGATGGTCACTAATTACTTAGGGAAAGTGAAAGAGCCCTGTAATTTAGGAACTAATGTGTGACTTTTCAAGTGCTAGCTCAAGCCTTTATGTCAGATGGAGTGTGAAATGTTTTAACTAGAAATGCAAGAAATAACTGTTGCCAATTATGATATCACTGGCAAGCTTACAAAAAAAATGAGTGTATTAGAGAAAACAAGATTAATAATAAAGTTCTAAGAAATTTTGCCAATAACATCATATAATACCTCTCTTCTTAGCGATGTCTTGCAGTTGAGATTTTACAAAGTTCAGCATGCTTTCTTCATTGTCATAGGCTGAAACTGATGGAAGGGCAACAACTGGACTAGAAAGAAAAACAGACACTATTGTTGTGTCATTAAATTATACAGTTCAGGAAAGGAACTTGCAGTTTTTTCCCTTTTTCCAGCACCTGCCAAGCAGGTTTAATAAAATACAGGAAATATTGGACGGCATAGGCCTATTTGTTTGTTAGTGGGGATCCTGCAGGTCGGGGCTTGAAGAAGACAATCAGCTAAAAGTTCTCGGAATTTTGGTCCAGGGCTCCAAAAATACTTACATTCCAAAGCAGCTCACATATTTGCTCGCCTGGGGCCATTGCTTGCTTGTCTTATAGTTGCCAATTTAATAACAGATAACTTATCTAATGGCCCTCGGGCAAGTGTGCATAAAAAGTTACTTGCTGAGCATGAGAATCTAGCATGTTAGTCCTGGACGCAACTAGATGGGATGTTTTCCCACCCCTGTAAAATGCTACACAAGGATGAAATAATAATCATATTTTATTAAAAGTGACAATTTACATGAAAGATTATGAGTTAGACAACTTACTTTAACTGTTGGTGACACCAGGCAATAACCCCAACAGCCATTCCACACAGTCCAGCCATGGTAGAAAACACAGGAACCACACATTTACCTTGTAACACAACAGTGAGATCAGATTTAGTTGAACATGCAACTCTCTTGAGTGATATTTCTTATTCATTGTGTCCACGAGGTTCAAGAAAATATTGGTACCCCACCCACAAATCCCCATGGGAGGGCACCGGAGATTCTGAAGCTGGGAGGAGTTTGTGGAACCAAATTGTGATTATAATCCTTTCATATACTGTAAATGGAAACAAACCATACACTGAGAAGCAACAACGGTGAATCTTTAATACAGTCAACTCTCTTTAATATGGACATCTTTGGGACCAATACTTAAATAAAGGGGGGTAAAGAAAGGGAGGATCAAACCAATGCTAGGTGTTTGTTTTACCGAGGTGTCTGTTAAGACAGAGAGTTGACTGTAACTATTTTCAGGTTTCAATTCCTTACCTGTGTCATCACACATGAACTCAATGTCATAAATGCTTCCCCCTCCTCTGACAAACCTGTAAAGTAGCTCCGCCCATCCAGTTTGGTCCTTTGTCACGAGGAGAAAAGAAAGATTCATTGAGCAAGACATTAAAGAAATTAGTGACTTTAAAGTTGGAAACTGTGGGGTTCTATTTTAGGCAAATCACAATACAGAGCAATTACATGAGGTTAGAGCTCCTAATAACCATGTATACTGAGAGATTACTGGATTTAACTCCATTTTGGGTATTTGCCCTCAGCTGCTCTCATGAAATTAAAAATAATATCAACAACTTTCTAAAGTTGGATCATCATGCCAGAACCTGTTACGGCTGATTGGTGTACATTTCTTACCTTATACGCATGAGCATAAAAGATATGCCTGTGGGTGACTGGATCATCGGTTTCTGGGAGTTCTTTTAAGCCAACAATAAATGCACCTTTAGGAGCACTTGTCCAGGAGCCTAATGGAGCCATCTCCACACCAGGAATGCTGTATACATAATAAATTGAGTAGTTTATAAAAGAAGACATTACTACTGAGAGAGGTTGACAGAAAAGTGCAACACCATGTATAAAACCAGTCTCAGACAATAATTTACCTAGCATACTCCTCATCCTTGAAGATACGCTGATCCGACTTCTCTACAGTCAACTTAAAACCTTAAACATAAAGGTAAGTTATGCTTCTGTTAATCTGGTGGTAATGACAAGAAGAAAGATACCTAAAATGAGTAGTATCATTTAATAATAATTATTATAATAATAATAATAATAATAATAATAATAATAATTGATTTACTCACAAGTGAAATTCTAAAAACTACTAGAAAGCCCACTTCATCTAAATTGGGACCCAACCCCCCTCCCCCCCACCACTGCAACTTTCCAGACTGACAACTACTAGGTTGTAACACACAAAAATTATTTATGTGTTTCACAACCTAAAAAAACAAAGATTCAAGTGCCAACACATAGCTTCCCCCTTAGAAATGACTTGTGAAGACTCACCCCTTCCCCTAGGAGTGTTCTATAGCCTTCACTAAGAGGAGTGCAGCCCAGGTTGGGAGATGCACTCTTTATCATGGTCACAACAAAAGGTCTCTTGTCTTAAACAGGGCGTGGGGTGGGACTCCCATATAAAAGTGACAGGGATGCTTGTTCGAAAATTAAAATTAAACCCCTAAGGGAGAGCACTGTGGATGTGGCTCAAGCTTAAACTGACCCCTACAAGAGACCAACAACAGAAATAGATTTGTGTCCTGCAAGGGATGTTGTGTTCTTTTTTAAAAGTTAGATTTCTTTGTGGCCAGTGTCAAGGCATTTTTGGTAAATTTCTTAATGGACAGCCTTAAGCATGCCTGAATGGGAAAATATACAGTGAATTTCCATCGCAAACACCCTAAGTGAGACCAAAATCTGCAATTTAAACCCCTACGCAAGATGACGAGAACCCCTGTCATGTTTATATGGGAGTCCCACCCCCAGGAACAGGGTAGCAAAATGGACCTGAACTTCCCTAAGGTACAGGGGTGGAATAGCCCAATGGATTACCAAGACTGTAGCAAAAGAACAGTGTGTGACAAACACAGACTGCACACTTGCAGACTGGCAGGTAAATGAGGTAAACATTGTTGTGAAATGCCTTAACAGATTCCCTATCCCTAAACTTTAAGTCTTCTAAAAATCTAGTTTAGGGATAGGGAATCTGTTAGAGCATTTCACGACAATGTTTACCTCATTTACCTGCCAGTCTGCAAGTCTGCAGTCTGCGTTTGTTGCACACCGGCAAAAGAACTGAAACTTAGGAAGCCAATTTATAGTAAGATTTCCGCTCAGTCCCATACGTTTATTATGACTTTATTCCACATTAATTGCTATTTGCGTGATTATTGCTGCATGATTAAGGTATATTGCTGCATGCATATTATTAAAATGCACAGGGCTGTACTGAAATCTTACCAATTTAACCCTTCGGATTTCATTTTGCAAAGGGCGTCGATTATTACTGAGGGTACGGATTTCAGCCATCTTTTAACAGGGGATGCTGCTAAAAAATATGGAATGTCCAACAATACGAGTAAAACGCGGATGCTGGGGACGGGATGTTATACACAATTTTGAAAAGCGTGAGGGCTCTTAGATTCTTCTTACCTGCTTGGACTAGATCTTTGCACCTTTCTGGTGTGATATGAGTGCGTCTTTCATTCGGTTTCGTTTCTGCTCTAAGCCATAAATGTACCGCCATGACCAACCGCACGTCGTCGAAATGTTTGTTTTCTCGCGGGATAACAGAATAGGAGCCTGGGTCGGGACATTCCCAGGCCGCTCTCAATTTCAACTCACCACGCCCAAAAGGCCACTCACGTACTGATACGGCGGAAAGTACATATAGCTAGGGGCAAGATGGAAACTTGTAAAAGTAAAAATAGAAGAAGATGGCCGTAAAAACTGTACCTGGTAGCAAATAGCAATACACTGGCAATAGTCACGGTTGATCGAGAACAGACTGCAACATTTGAAAGAAAACTAACAGAAGACTTGATGAAGCCAAGGCGACAAATTGAACATTCCAGTTAAAATTTGTTGTGGCTAAAAGTGCCCCTTCATCGCAATACCAGCCTTGTGATGAAAAATGTTCATTTACACGTTAGTGCGGCTACAGTCACGTCGACATCTGCACCTTGTTGTGTTGTTTGACTATCTGGTCCTTCTCGACTAATAATTCACTTAATATTTTAATTTTCAACAACCGCCACATCCAATCTTTTCAAGTTTTCCAAAAGTGTAAACAACCCCACCCCACCCCACCTGTAATTTTTATTTATTATAAACATTCAAAAAGTCATCCAAAAATTCTCAAACAAGTATTGACGAACCAATGACTCCCACTCTACAGGGTCATACTTTGATTGAATACAGTAACACGGAGATAGTCAACGAAAAACAAGGCCATTAACGAGACTGCCCCTCGTTTGTGTTATTTTTAAAGTATTTCAAGGGGGTGTTTCAAGTAAGTTCTTTTTCAACTAGCTTACCTACAGTAATCACAGCGGTATCGGTTCGTTTCGCCCGATGTGTATTTGTCGTTCTTTAAGCGAGAAATAGGAATAGGCATAGAAAGACAGTAACTGCACTTGTGGAATCTAAGGATTACTAAGATAACATCTCGGAGAAGTAGGTTCACCATGTTGTAGAGTGTTGTATGTCATCGGGCGAATCTACTTCAGTCCTAGCGAGCGCCTTCGGGCGAATCGACTTACGGGCAAAACGACCGCAATTCATCACAGCGAGGATAGCCTAGTTCCAGGCGCGCCAAAAAGGAGAGGGGAAGGGGGAGAGCGAGAACTCTCTTGCTCCCTATTCTTCTTTTTCTCGCACCCATTTCTTCCAAGCGTCTGCTATGCAGACTACCGATCCCCTTACCCTACGCAGGCTGGGCAGAAGGCGCCACCCCCCACTATCTGAAAAACGGAACAGGCTACTGCGAAGGCCACTTCGGCTAATCACCATCACAGACACAAAATGTGACACAGCCTGAACTTGAAAAAGGCACAAGAATCTGGGAACACTTTGTTTATTCAATTATTTAATTCTTTATTTTCTAATTAAGGACCGACCTAGTTAAATAAAAGATAAAGTTTCAAAACTTGACAAGTTAATAGAGCCATGGCAATAAGCTGAAATAAGTTAAGCTTAAAATGCATGTTGTTCACAACAACGTGCAATCAAATTTCATTTAATCTTGATCATAAAAGCTATTTTTTACAAATATCAGACCAGCTGCTACCTAACAATTTTAAATTAAGCGTAAGAAAAATCGCTAATTCATTTCACTGATAACAGCCTGAATCCAACAATCTTTTAGCTTCTTCTGCTTTTTTATCAAACATTGTCTTGGTTCTGGCCCAAACAGGATCCTGAAAAAAAATCAAACACTGTAAAGCTTTACCACTCACTTAATTCAGTTAATTACCTGATAAGTAAACAGCAATTGCTGCATTTAAGTAAGGATAGATTCATAATACATGCAGGGATCACGGAGCCATGGAGCTGGGTGGATATACAGTCGACTCCTTTTAATATAGCGGACATTGTAACGACCTTGAGCTAGTGTCCTCATTAGCAAGAGTCCGTAATAGCGGGAGTTTATTTCAGTCAAACGTCTGTAATTTACTTTTGCCTGGGAGTTGGAGAGTTGACTGTATATCCCCACCAATAATTTTGCCCGATTCTTTTCTTTTGCATTTACAAACGTGCTTCTAATATTTGCGTTAAAAGCAAACACATTGTGTTATAAATATACGTTTCTGTGCGGGAAACTAACAAAAGGGTGACAAAAAGCATTGCCGTCGATTTGAGAAGGACGCTAGTTCAGCTTGCGCTTACATTAGCCCCACCAATCAAATTACCGTAAAATTCCGAAAATGAGCCCCTCCATGTATAAACCCCTCCAAATATAAGCCCCCCAAACTCGAACGCAAAAAACCGTCCGTTAAATCGCCCCTCCGAATATAAGCCCCCCCCCCCCCGGGGGGGCTTGAACTTGGAAATTGCCCTCAAGTACAAAGCAAAACAAAGCAAAAACGGTAAATTTCAGTCTAACTATGAGGCTAGCCCAATCGATTTAGAAACGCAAATTTCCCTCCGTAGATAAGCCCGTCAAAAAGGGCCTTTCAAAAATATAAGCCCCGGGGCTTATTTTCGGAATTTTACGGTATACTCTGTGGTCTCTGTAATATTACATACCTTATCTAATTTAAGCAAGTAAGGTGTCATTTTGTTGGCAAATCGTTCGCTACTTTCACGTGGTAAAACAGAAGGCAAGTGGTCTATAGCTGAGACATCAACAGGCTTACTGGAGCTGAAAAAGACAGAGCCGAATCATGCTCAATTTGCATGAAGCACCATTTGAACAACATCATAACGTTTACATATTCCAACTGCTCAAATGAGCAATGACAAGTTGCATTCTAGTGAAACACCAGGCCCCAGTTATTCAAAAGGTGGATAGTGTTGTCCACTATACAAATCTCTTTCCAGTTGATAATGGGTTTTATTAAAAACTGAATCATTGGATAATGCAATTCTAGAGCTCTGATTGGCTTAGCCATCATGGTATGTGAGCGATTATACCATGCTCTCCAAATTTGTCAAAATTAAAAACAAGCTGAAAATCGGTTGTTTTTACAAATAAAGTCGGAGAGAATTCTCGATATTATGTGGCCGTTTTTACTAAAACAGTTATTCCACTCGCACTTGTTGAATATGCTACGCACCTCTTTGGCTATCTACCATCTCATATCCAAAGCACACTCGTGGAATTATTTCTTAATAGTCTACGAGTAAGCTCTCCATTTAAGGGAGTGGCAAAAGTCATGCGAGAGCCACCCCCGAAAGACTGACGCGAATGTGAGCTAGGGTTGGCAATTTGCTTGCACATTCCTTTGCAGTTCACTTCACTTGCCATAATTGGACAGCTTGCTAGCAGGCTAAACAAGTTAGAGTCCCTAATACGTACCAGGACAATTTATCGGATGGGTAGTGCATTCTAACTTTTGATAAACTGGGACCAGTATCATGTGATATATAGTAGATAATGGGGGGAGCAGTTAGGGGGGGGGGGATGTTTAGTCAGTCTTCAAGGGATTTTTTTTATATTATTAGCAATTTTAACACTTTCACCCATATTGAACAGCAACTGTGCTGTCAGTTAAGGCCATGATCCATAACACCTGTTAAAGATGCACTCACTACGAATTTCATGAGGCGGGAGACTGTATAAAAGCTACAGAAGGATAACAAATTAATAACAGGCATTGGAGAGCTAGAGGTCATGCCTCCTTGAAGAACAGCAACAATTTCACTCAAATTTTCACTCCCCTCATGGCATGAGTTAATGTAAACCTACTTCAAAAGTTTGACTCTCTCGCATGGCTGATCAAATGTTGTTGCTGAATTGTAGAATGGCAGGGGATTATATGGACTGTTGGGATCACAGCTAACATCAACTACCATGCTTAGATTCCTATGAATATAGCAACAATACAGGCTGTCAGTCTCATCTTACTCATTATGGTACCAGTGATGATCAAATGAGCCGTGGATATGCAGATTGTAACAATTTTAACAAAGGTTCTCTTACTCTCACTTCTTAAGAAAGTCAAGCAAAAAAGTTCTGGGAAGCAATTAGCTCTAATGGAAAAAATTATCGTAAATCTTGAAATTGTGCATGAAATAATC